ACAAATTAAGATTATTAATTTACCCTTTTACCTTAAGGTATCTTTAATTGCTTTCTTTTCATTTTCTCAGTATCTGCGGCCTATGGCTACCTTTACAGTCTATTCATCCTTCCCTTTCTCCTTTTCTTTCTCTCTCATCTATTCAATTACTATTGATTTATCTTACTAGCTACAAGGCTGTACTAGTCTGAGAGGCACTAAGCATTCAATAGTGGACAAAGCAGACATAAAATTTTGAAACCTGTAGTCTAGTACAGATGACCAACATTATAAATGTCACATTTAAATAATGAATTTTCAATAAAGCTAAGTGCTAAGATTCTGTGAGAACCTAGAAAGGGAGATCTCAGCAAGCCAGGGAAATTAAGGGGCAGCCAGATAGGTCAGCAGATTAAAGCACCTGCTTAGGCAGACACAAGAGTTGGAGGTTTGATCCCCAGCCTGCCTTGCTGGCCCCAACCCCAGGGTGCACTGAGATGGTGAGGAAGACTGGGCACGGAGACACGTGCCTATAATCCCAGCACTTGGGAAGCTGAAAGTCCGATCTGCATGGTGAGACCCTGTAGACCTTGTAGACCATGCACTAAAAACAAAACAAAACAAAAAGACAGGGAAATTAGCCCCTCAGCACCAGCACTCAGGGGTTTGGGCAGGCAGGGATGCAAGTGTGGAGCTGCCTGGGCTCCAACCTGAATGTGAGGCCTGTCCTGTTACAACAGCATAGTGAGACCCTGTCTCAGAAGAAAAAAGACAGGGATATTAGAAAAGGACTCCCACAGGAAAGGGCCTCTTGATCGAACCTTCATATTTGCAGCATAAATAGTCCTTACCCAAGGAAAAGGGGAGCAAAAGTAATCCCTGTAAAACAAAACAAAATGTGCATGCAAAAACACAGAGCGCACGAAGGCCCTGTGATAGAAATGATCATGTTGAGCATGAAGCACTTTCTAAAAAAATCCTTCAATGTGCCTGAAATGCACACACACGTACACAACCCCCCCCCACACACACACAGAGGCTGCATAGTGTAGAATGAAACTGAAGAAGGGGAAAGGGTGATCTTATAGACTGCCACAGGCTCTGTAGCCACGAAGGAGTCTGCAGCAGGGATACGCTGCATTTTATAAAGATGACTTTCACTACAATGTGGAGAGCCAGGCATGATGTGCACACCTGTAATCCCAGCATCTGGGAAGCTGACACAGGAGGATCACCACAAGTTCAAGGCCAGCCTAGACTGTGTAATGAGGCCCTGTCTTACAAAAAGGCAAGACCAAACAAAAAGTACAATGTGCAGAGTGATTTGAAAGGGGAACCGGATGTGACGGCACATGCCTGTAATCCCGGCACTCAGGAGATGGAGACAGAAGGATCACTGTGAGTTTAAGACCAGCCTGGGGATTGCAAAATTAAACACAAGGCCAACCCAAACTGCATATCAAGGCCCTGTCTCAGAAAGAGAGAGAGAGAGAGAGAGAGAGAGAGAGAGAGAGAGAGAGAGAGAGAGACAGACATCAACATGTTATTAACTGGAAAGGTGGTGTTGTACATTAAGGAAGTGAAGGTGATAGGTCAATTTTAAAAAGACGACAGCATAGGAAAGTTGAGTAACTTTGAGAAGTATTCAGATCAGTCAACATGATCAATTAAGCATAGGGAATATATTAGTTATTTATTGCTATGTAAAAATTACCCCCATACTTAGCAGCTTCTTAGCAAGAAATAATTACCTTATGTGTGGAACAGAAATCAAGACATGAGTTAGTCACAGGGCTACACTCCAAGTGTTGATCCAGAGTGCAGTCACATCAAAACTTGACCAGGCAAGGATTCAATGTCAAGGTGGTTCTTACGGTCACTGGAAGGCCCCGTGTCCTCACTGACTGTTGGCTGGAGACATCAGTTCTTTGCCAAGTGGGCCTATCCATGGGGCTACTTACAACACAGCAGCCCACTTTCCTTAGAGAGGAGCGAGGGAGGCAGGGAGGAACTGACCAGAGGGAGTAAAAGAAGCAAGCGAAAGATCGTAATCCTTTTATAACTCAATCTCTGCACATCTCTGGATTTTCATCATGTTACAAGTGAGTCACTAGGTCCCACAAGGGGAGGAGTTTATCAAAGGATGCAGACACTACACAGTGGGACCACCAGCAGCCGCCTTTGAGGCTACTACTGTCAGAGGCTACCACCATAGGAAGCAAGGGAGCAGGAGCACTGTGATAGTAAATAGTGAGACCGAGAGGGAGAGAAAAGGCCCAGGCCTGAAGAAGTTTCTTTTGGACACGAGAAGTATGAACAGGGAAAGGGTCTGTCTTAGCTGCTTTTCTCATTGCTGAGACAAAATATCTGACACCCAAAGTTAAAGGAGTGACAATGGTTTAGCTCACAGTTTGTAGAGGTTTCATAGTCAGCTGGCTTCATGGCAGGGTGGCATGGTAGAGGGGCGTTCCAATGGGGAAACAGTTCCTGGTGGGCAGAAGGCAGCAAAAGCAGCAAGAAGCAAGCACCCACATTAACCCTCTTCCTGACCCTTATATTTTACCCAGACTACATGCTCTTAGGACAGGTACAACTTGCACCGAGGATGGAGCACCCTCAGCCTACCCAGAACTACCCCAGACCAATCAGTGGGCTAGTTTAGTAACCATATAGCCTTCATCCCAACACCACATACTCTAGATCCAGCTGCCTCTGAAAAGGCCTCTATGCCCACATGAGCATTTGAGGGGACATCTAGACACAAGTCATAATAGAGTCTTTCATCAAATCAACAAATATGTGTTTATAAAATACCTACTATGTGCTAAGCGCTAGAGAATAGAATAATGCAATGAACACTGAAAAATCCTTTACCTTTTAAGAGTTGAACATGGATGCTATTTATATTACATTATTTGGATAATCATAAGAAGGTAGAAAGAACAAAGTGTAGGGTTCACTTCTGTTGTATCAATATATGCTTTTCAAGGATATACTTTTTCCACATAGTTTGAATCCTCAACACGTGGCTTCCTCCTATACTTTCCTACCTTCTGTCTGTCTTACAGTAGTTATCAAAAGATGTTGAGAATTATAGTACCATTGTAGTTGCAGTAGTCCAAAATGGTCCCCCCCCCAAGATATGCACATCAGCTTTCTAAACTTCCTTAATTGGTAAACGTGTCTCTACAGGTATTAAGGATCTTAGAGCAAATATGTTGGATTATACAAGTGGCTCCTACATGGTACCACAAGTCTCCTTGCACGAGACACACAAAAAAATGCACAAGATGGGGAGGTAATGTGACCATGGTAGCGGAGGACTGGAGACACCGAGCCACAAGCCAAGGAATGACAACCAACACCGGAAGCTGGTCAGAACCAAGAACAGATCCTCCTCCAAAGCCTCCAGAGGAAGGTTAGCCCTGCAGACACCTTGATTTTGGACTCCTGGCCTCTAGAACTGCAAAGGACTAGACTTTTACTGTTTCAATCTACCCAGCTGTGGTAATTTGTTACAAAAGGTATAGGAAACCAAGATATTCTTCTAATGTTTTTCTTTATCAATGCAGTCATAGTGTTTATTACAAGTTGTAATTATTTGCTTGTTCATTCATTGTCTTTAGCCTCTCAGCATAGTATCTGCAACACTAGATTCCTAGGAACTATGAGTTAAGTGAATGAGTTGATAAATACTGCCCATAAATAACAAACAAATCTTGTAAGACATGGATCATGGCTATTGATCACTATTCCCAAAGCTCCAGCACAGAGCTCTGCAAAAAACTGCCACTTTTCCTACGTTTGAACTCTGAAAGTCAGGAAGTCTATATTGTAGGCACTACAGTTTATAGCTGTGTGACTACAATTTATAGTAGTCGACTACTACAATCGACTAAAGAGCGTCCAAACAGGTTTGTCCTTGAAGGCTCTTAGTCCCAATAAGCAGCAGATCAAATAGCATTCATTTTCATCTCATACCTGACCCGTAGTGATTGACATAAGGTAGGGACAATAACCAGTTGAGGTTTTGGAGGTTAAGTGGAATAGTATCAGAGACCAGACCCAGCCATGGCTGAAATTCAGCACCGCATCCTTGAAAAATTCTTAAGTCTGAATCCTCAAATCCCCTACAGAGGAAGCTGATCCACGCCTCATAGTTTGTGCACCGTGAATCACTTGGCCCACAGGAAGAAACCCACGGGTTACTTGTATCTAATTACTACTAACCCTGTGCCGTTGACCTAACTCAGCCATAGGTACAGCACCGGACAAGAGTTCTGCATCAGTAGCTAATTAATCTTCCCGTGCCACAGTTCCTTACCCAAAAGCTGGAAATAAAGCCTCCCACTACATATATATATATATATATATATATATATATATATATATACATACTTATACATATATACGTATATATAGATATTATTTTCATCTCATACCTCATATATATACGTATATATGTATATATATGCTTTCCAAAGTGCACAGAGATTTTCAGTAAATATTTCCACTTCTTAGGGCCGTCTCAAACAGTGAAAGAGTCCACAAGACTTTATTATGAGCTTAAGAAGCCTATATGGAAAACCTGGGAACCAAAGGCCACCTGAAGAGTTCACTATTCCAAGATTCCGTATCCTTCAGCCACCATTCATATGGTGATGAGTATTTACAACCAGGAGAGATCAGACCCAAGTAACAAAATTCGAGAAGAGCCCACGATGTGAAGTCCCACTTGGTGAAACGCAAAGTTTCAGCTTAGCAGCTGACCCAAGTTACTGTCTGCGGAGAGCTCGGGTCCTGGGTGGCGCGCAAAACCTTCCCTTGGCGTCCCTGCGTTGCCCGGCAACGTTCCCCAGACGTGAAGCCCCAGGCGTCCGTCGGCGGGAAGCCCAGGTAGGCGGCGCGCAGGCGCGTCCCGCGAGCCAATGAGCGCGGCCGAGACGCGGGGGCCCCGCCCCCCGTGGATTGAGGGGCGGTGACTCGGGGCGGGCGTGAGCCGCCTTGCGGGCGGGCGAGAGGGCGGTTGTTTGTGCCTGTGCCGGCGCCCCGCGTCCCGTCACGTAGGTTACGCGCAGCGCACAGTCCGCGGCGAGGACAGCCTGGAGCCGGCCCCGGCCGCTGCGTCCTCCCCAGCCCGGCGGCGGGGCCCGCGATGGTGCGGGTCGGCGGCTGCCGGGGCGGCTGAGCGGGCCGGGGGCTGAGAGGAGCCCGACCGACCGAGCGCCGCCTCCCGCCCGCCGCCTCCGGCCGTCGGGGTCCGCGCGCGCAGCCCCGAACCCTGTGCCCCAGTCCCGGGCCCGGCGGGAATGTTCAAAAATGAGTACCAGGTAACCCCAGAGGCCTCTGCAGACGCCTGCGCGCTCCTCGCGGGGCCGAGGCTGGAGGTGGGTGGGGACGAGCCCCGCGGTGGTGCGACCCCGAGGGGCGAGGAGAGGCCGGGGCCGAGCGACCGTGACACACGGAGCAGAAGGAGGAGGGCAGCCGGGCGGCTGGGCAGGGCGCCCGCCCTCTGACCACTCTCAGGGTCGCTGTGTGGTTCCGAGGGAAAGGCAGATCTCACGCCCTGCCAGACAGACAGCCGGCCTCGGGTCTCCAGGGCCGGCCTCGAGGCGCACGTGGTAGGGGCGACTGTAGTTCATGGCGATCTTGGGGAGTCGGTCGCTGGACATCACACATCTCGATTCTTCTACTTTTTTCGCTCTATCTCTTGGTCCCTTCCCATTTAACAAAAAAACAAAATCAAAAACAAAAACACCTCCATCTCCCTCTGATGTACCACCACCTATGTAGGGCTGTTTGCTATTGATGCACCCCAGTATCTCAGAAGCAGATTAGGAGTATGAGTGAGGGCGTCAGTGGATGACGCCCAGATCATAAATAGGCACTGTGGCTGTCAGCCTTTTTTTTTTTTTTTTTTTTTTTTCAAAACGGGTTTAGTGACACTCAAGCACGGGGGGTTATGAAGGTCGTTGGGGGTTACTGGTAAACGCGCAGAACACCTGATCTTTTCCCCTCAGCTGTAGTGCATGGGAACCCTCAGGCTTGGGAAAGGTAATCTAGCTTTTAAACAACTTCCCTCCAGTGAACTTCCCTCCCGTGATTCTCGTACTGATGGGCCCCGGATCTGGAGCAGCCTTGTTTCTGGGTGTCCTTAGGCAGCGTAGACGCAAGCTTTGAAGCGGGTCTCCTTGCACAGCTTGCTTCCCACCCTATGTGTGTCTCCTCTGCTCGTCCTTGGCCCTGGCTTCCTGCCCCGGCCTCTTCACCTCCTCTTGAGGTTACACTTCTCTTTACAGCCCTGCCCTTGGGAGCTTTCTCCCTGCCTGTAATCTGCCGCCTGGTCTTCGCCTCTTCCTTACTTCTGCCTCTTCACCACGCACTGCTGGTCCTTAGAGTCGGCTGCAGGTTTCTTTGGTATACTCTACACTTATTATTAAACAGGTTAAGACAAATGGAGAGAATTTGTCCCACTTTATGTCGGTAAGGTATTCTGTTCAAAAGCATAAGCCCACTGCAGGAAATAAACCTGGAAAACATGGGAAAGTAAAGAGAAGTATGGAGGAAAAGTTTGCTATTTCTCCGAATATAAAGGGTTTTCCCTTTTTAAAACCAAGCTGTCTCAAATTTAAAATTCATTGTGTAGTTTGACCTCTTAAAAGCTGTGGTAATTCTATTCCACATATTTTGCACAGAATACTGCCTAATGATGAAAAATTAAATACCATGATTATGTGTTAAAACTCAGAAGCTAAAGTATCTTAATATTCAAAAAAATTAAAAGCTGGAAATTCTTTACAAAAATCACTTTCAAAAAAATTACTTTCATTATTGCTTATAATTCAAACCACATTTCACCTTTGTTTCAGAGTCTGTTTGGGCAATACTTTCTCAGTGATCATCTTATTTCCCTTTTTTATAATTAAAATGTATGAATATTTGATGATATAGTTAGTAATTGTTTTACATAAGCACATCTGTTGTTTGTGAGTTTACAATGGAGAGTAATTAGTCTGTCTTTATGAATGATTCATTCTTTTTCTTGTACAAGTTATTGTTTTTCTTCTCTTATCTCCAAATTGATTTGTATTAAATAAATAGACATTACAGAATGCTCAAAATAAGAGTCTTCTCTGAATCCCTCCCAAGCCTTTTCATTAACCAGTATTAAACTAGTTTTCCCTTTTGTTGGAATAATATTTGGTGGCACTATTCTTGCCATGTGCTTCATGGTTTTTGCTTACTGTCTGTTGTAGTCTACCAACCCACTTTACAGATAGAGAATCAAGAAATTAAGTATCTCCACGGTCAGATAGTTGAGTCAGTGCTAGAGCTCTGGTCACCATTATCAGAAAGTTTGTAGTTATAAGAATTTATTGGCTTGGTTCAGTAATCGAGTTTCAACCTTTTAGTCTGGGGTCCACAAAATATTTTGGAAGCCTGATGGTACATGTCAAGTAATGAGCCCTCCTAATAACGTTTAGGTGGCATAACTGATCTAAAGTTTCTCATGCTTTACAAGTAACTTCCTTAGACCATTAACCCTGGGTCACCCAAATCCAGAAATTCATGGCTTACCTATAATCAAGGAACAAAGAAGTGGTGATAAAGGCATAGTGTTTCCTCCCAGATCTATTTAAGCACAGATGGCTGGACCACTGGGTTTGTTTTCTGGGGTGTTTCCTTCTTAATGCTGTATTGCACTTTAAATTTAAATACCTTGTTTTTATTTTCTAGGGAGGTGCATTTGTTGAAATCTTTAGTGCTCAGGGAAAAAATCCTGGAGCACAGTGGAAGATCCTTGGCAGCCCGTCTGTGATTTGGAAAGTAAGTGTCTGATGCAGCGGCCACAAAGATCATGGGAGGAAGTGTGAAGGGAGATTGTAGAAAAAAGGGCTTGATCAGATTTCAGTTGCTTTTCCTGTTCTTTCGCTTTGAAAGCCTTTTGTGGTGGTGTTGCCCGCAGCTCTCCTGGGTGCCACTCTTCTGTTGTTTAAGACTGGAATCTAGCTCATACTTTTCTCTGTGTTCAAGGTCCTCCTCTGTCATTTTGGGTGACTCTAGTATTGCAGAGGAAAATCTGTCTAAATCCTGAGCATCTCAGTTTCTTGATTTCTTCATCTTTGTTGACCTCTTCCATCCACTCTGCTGCAGTATCCATGCCCACTGGCCTCCCCTAGACCTTCCTGCCCAGACTGGAAGACTCCTGAAATTGCTGAGTGAAACCCTGAAGTGTCCCTCTCTGAACCCCATCTTTGATTCTTAAGTGTGCTGGGTCAGATGCCCCCTCTGTGTTTGTTCTTCTGTCTAATAGGGCTCTTTTGGCCATTGATCCTTGTTTTATTTATTTTCTTTTTCTTCACTTATTTTTGCTTCCACCCAGAAACCAAATTCTAATTTCAGTCACTTTCCAGGCAAGACCCTGGATGCTTTCGCTCGTGTCCTCACATGGTGACTGCTGAGCCAACCCTTTCTGAATTCCCCATGCTCCTCCCTGCAGGACAAGCCCACCTCACTCTCCAGGAGAGCTCCCCACTAACAGGAAAAGCTGGCCTCAGCTAGCTGTCACCAGGTTAAAAAACCTGTATCTGTCCCAATCCTTTCTTTCTCCTGTTTAACCCAGAATGGCTTGCTAGGGACCTTCTTCCTTAGATAATTTTTAAAGCAGCTATTAATGCAGTGCTCGCTATCTGCCAGCATGGTACTACAGTCTTTGATATACTCTGATATTATGTAATTGAAGCACTACCCCTTAGTGAGAGAGGCGGCTGTATACCTATCTGATTGGTAGGCCACAAAATTAAGGCATAGAGAGGGTAAGCTCAGAGTTACATAGCTGTTACTGTGAATGAAAGATAATAGTGCTGTTGCAGTACATAGCAGACATTAGGAAGGGCTGCCCCAAGGAAATGATGTTTGAGTTGTATGAGTTAACTTTTTTTTTCTTTTTTCATAATACTGGGGATTAAACTCAGAGTCTTCACATTAAGTATCTTCCTCCAACAACTCCCTCCATTTTAATTTTTCATTTTGAGATAGGGTCTAACTGCAATGTCAAATTGTCCAGGCTGAGCTGGAACTTGGGAATCTCTTGCCTCAGACTCCCAGAGTGTTGGGATTATAGGTGTATATGTCTCCATACTCAGCTTGTAAAAGTCAGCTAGCCGGGGAGAGGTAGCTCAGTGGACTATCTTTGGCAAGCACAGGGACCAGGGTTTGATCCCCAGTTCAAAAACTGAAAGAAGTCTGTTGAGGCCACGATGAAGCAAGTGAGGGAGAACACCAGGTAGGAGATAGGATTTAAAGTTTGGACAGGGCGCGCAGGTGCTTACTGCCATATTGAAGGCTTAGTGAGCTATTCAAGTTTTATTGCATGTCCAGCTTGTGCACAGTTAGAATGAAAACATCACATGGTGCAGGTGTGTTCACTGAGATACACAGAGATGCTATTGTAATGGACCTAAGAGCAGTGTATTTGTTACTTACTTTTTAGCAGCCAGTAGTGACAGTGCATTTGTTAACATACACGAAAAGCCCAGGTATAACACTGAAGACTTGGAGAATTTGTGAAAAATGAAGAAGGCATCTTTATACTCAGAGGCTGAGAATCTGCCTTTAGATAATCACCATCCACATTAGCACTTGGATGGAAAGTGGCCTCTTACGTATAAATATTTTTCATTGCCGGATTTCTCCCTGCTGCCACTCCCACCTTAGCTTTTCAGGTAACCTTAACTGTGGCGTTTATTTCATGTTGATTTAAGTAAATGGTACCTAGGATGTCATAGTTGTAGCAGGTGCAAAATAGTGTGATTAATTCTGTTGGAGCTGGTCTGAAAGCAGAGCAGTTCCACACTGGATACCACATGGGCCTGGTGGTGTCTTCATCGTGGCAGGGGTTGGTGTTCGCCCGGTGCTGCTGGACAGAAATATGTAGGTTAAAGGGGCAGAGTAGCAGCTAAGTCCTGGGAACTGAATTAGTGACTTGGGAGTCCCTGAGGTTGGAGAGCTTCTGACGTCTTGACACCTTGGGGGGTTACCAAGTGGCTCAGTGTGGCTTTTGTATTCCGGTTCTCAGCAGGCCTCAAGGGACAAGTGTCCTCTAGGCCTGACCCTACTGCTAGGTCATTTGAATGTGGGATATTTTGCTTCTGGATTTGCAATTTCAATTTTATAGAGGAAGCTAAATAAGATGTACTTCAATTACCTGTCTTCATTTCATTCTACAGGAGTTTGATAAAGAAGTTAAAAGTTTTGTGTTTGTTCTGGAAGGCAGCAGCCAAACAAATAAAATTCAGTTACCGAAGGAGAATAAGCAAATCCGTAAGTAAAATTTTTAATATTGAAAATTTGATAACATTATGCATTTATACCTTATATACAGGTATACAGTATGAGTGTGAATTTTACTGGCATCTGTTGGTGTGAAGAGATGTGTCTTTCTTTTTTTTAATGTAGAAGCTAGCTGTATGTTAGGCACTATGCTAGGCTTTTAAACGATACACTATTCTGCCTTTCTACCTACTAGGAATCTAGAACTATTTTTGAGATTTAGAAAATTATTTGGTAACAGATAAGTATGATGATAATAATATTTATCAAGCACTAACTGACCAGGAACTTTCTAGGCCTTTTGTCTTTATTAACTCTTCTAATCTACATAATAGTTCTTTTATATATGAGCAAACTGAAGTTGGTTCCTTATTAAGAAATTGGGTAGGCTGGACATAGTATACCATACCTGAAAACCAGCACTCTGCAGACTGAGGCAAGAGATTGCGAGTTCAAACTCAGCCTGAACAGTTTAGCAAGACTCTGACTCAAAAAAAGGGAGGGCTGGGGATTTAGCTTGATGCAGAGGCCATGAGTTCAATTCCCGGTGCTATTAAATAAATTTTTTAAAAGGACAGTTAACGATGTTTTGAAATAAACTCAGAAATTCCCATTTATAGAAAATTAATTCTTGAGAAAACTTTATTAAAAATACTATATAAAACTTTTTGGTAACAGTAACTTGAACCCTTGAAGGATTTGATAACTAGTAGGTACATGCATGTTAAGTGACTTCACAAAAAGCACAGCGTTTATTTCAGTTCTTACTTTGGAAATTAGCGTTAGTATTTTAAAGCAGAAGAAACTCTGAGAGCGCACCTAAGCTTGTGCTCAGAAGCCCCGTGTTGGCAGAGATCAAGTTTTAAAGTTCCAGGCTCTGCCACCAGACTAGGCTTGGAAGAAACTGATGTTGATTTAAGAAATATACTGTATCAAGTGATTAATCGTGTTTTCCAAGGCCAGCGGTATAGCTTAGCAGGTTAAGCGCTTGCTTAGGTAAGCACAGGGGCCGGGGTTTGATCCCTGGCACTGCATGCCGTGCCAGCCCTGCCCCCATTTGTGCTGAGCCGGCAATGGAGTCCAGGTATGGTGGCACACGCCTGTAATCCCAGCACTAGGGAGGCAGAAAACAGGAGGATCACTAGAAGTCTAAGCTGCGGAGCACAGTGAGACCCTGCACAAAAAAAAAAAAAAAAAAAAAAAAAAAAAAAAAAAAAAAAAAAAAAAAAAAAAAAAAAAAATCATGTTTTCCATGAGTTGTGTCGTATGTTTTACACATAGAATTCAGAAGATTTGGCAAACATGAGTAACCAGCTCTTTTAGCATTTGTCATTTCCTTAGTCCTCTCATTCATTAAGGACATTCATTGAGTGACTGTCATATACCAGGCACTAAGAAGACCTGTTGCTGGGACCTAATTCTCTTATTTTAATTCAGCTTTCTAAATGTACATACTCCACGCTTTATGTACCATGTCTAGCTGCTCCATGTGTGTTTTAGATTTCTAAAACCATAAACCAAGTTGTAGAAGTTACAGAGAGGAGATGACTTACTTTCAAGTGATATGTCAGGGTCATTTGTTTGTTTTTAGGTATTGTTTAGTTTTCAGTATTGAGGATTGAATTGAGGGCCTTTGCACTAAGCTACATCCCCAGTCCAGTCTCTTAAAATGTATTTATTTATTTATTTTTGAAGCAAAGCCTTATAAAGTTTGTAAGTTGCTAGGGGTAGATTTGAACTTGTGGTCTTCCTACCTCCGCCTCCTGGAGTGCTTGGATTACAGGCATGTACCACCATGGCCAGCTGTCAGTGCTTCTTTCTAAATGAGCATAAGAGGTGAAATTTAGCAGCGCTTTCTCCTAGTTCGCGTGCGCGCACATGCGCGTGTGTTCATGTGTGCAGGCTCACATGTGTAAGTGCAAGGGTTTCTTTCATTTCCACATGAATTTATGCTTACAAGGCAAATTAAAAAGATAAGCTAGAGGAAAGTGTCTGAAACTACACTTCATTGGTAAAAGAGACACAGCCCAGTCATTTCAGGATGTGGACTTGGTGAGACAGGTAACTGTTTTAAGTCAGTGTACGTTCTCTTGATTCTTATTATTGTACTTACACAGCCTGCCGCACTTACACCTAGCCCCCGGCATCTGTGCGCATGGTCATGGTATCGATAAAAGCATTCACTTCTTCTCCTTGGCTCTGAGGAGCATTGCTTCTTACCAAGGGCAAACTGATTAATTGCGAGCTCTCCTTTCCTGCGCTTACCTGAGGGGTTTCCCCACAGAAACCGAGTTTAATGTATTACAGTTACCATTTTAAATGGAAAGATGAATGTTTTTAATTGCAAGAAGCAGAAGAATCTTTTAATGTATTTCTTGCACTGTGCCCTGTAATTAAACATTAAATCTTGCTTTTCTGACACTCATCTAGCACTGTAACAAATGAAACAGTTTATATACTGTACCTTGCACAAATGCCTTTAAGATTATTCAGAATTTTTGATAACAGAAACATACTGCTATTTTTTAGTTGTATTAAAATGACCTCATTTTTTAGGTTGGTATAGTTAAACTTAAATGTCATATTTTCAATTAGCATTTCTAAATTAAGTTCATTTAGCATTATGTATCCCTATTTTAAGAGTACACATGTATTTTACGTGTATTCTTAATGTGAGCTTGACATTAGGTATTCCATGTTGATTCTGACTTTATTGGGGACTTAGAAAGAAAGGTTAATGATGAAACTGGATGTTTACCTGTTCATAAACCATTTTTCTGAGCTAACTTATATTTGAAGGTTTCTAAATACATCAAAGTGTTTTCACTCAGCATCCTCCAAGTAAAAGAATGTGATATGACTGTTAGCTTGTGCACTTCTCCGGGGCAGAGATCTTGAGTCCTCTTCTTTTTTTTCATTGAGGAATAAATATGAATGAGACAGTTTCACAACTGATTAATAGGACAGTTTTGATAATCAATACACTGTACAATGTTATCTTCTTAGTAGTTATCCATAGTACAAGAAGCAGACAGGATATTCTGTCCAAACACTGTTAGTACACCTCTTCTCATTGAATTAAGCGAAAGTAGCTGTAAATTTATCCTAACTATTTTGTATATATAAATACAAAATGATCTTTCCTTTGTATCCTTTTTTTTTTTTTTTTTGTCCTGTCAGAGGTGAATATTCTATTGGCATCTAAATACTATAGGTGTTTGTTTGTTTGTTTTTGGTGGAACTGGGGATTGAACTCAGGTCCTTGCGCTTGCCAGGGAAGCACTTATTCCACTGAGCCATCTCCCTGGCCCCGACTATAGGTGTTTGAATTCAACTAAACAATCTAACACTGTCTAGCAGTCTATACTATTAGTGGGTTATCCTCAGAAGTTATTGACTTGAGCCTTTTACAGCTCATCATATTAATATGGATTTACTCTATATACCTCATTTTTATACTTTTCTGCTGGATGGTTAAGACCAACATATAGTAAGACCTATATAACAAGAAATGTAACTTTTGTATCTGATAAGGTCAGCCAAGTACTCTCAGGATTTATCCTGTAGCCCTGTACCACCCTTTGTACATCTTTTTGTCAGTGTCTGACATGAGGATGAGTCATGGCCATTGCTTGACCAATTTGCTCTCTGTGAAAGCTTGAGAAAATGTTTTTTCTCTTCATGTAACTCTCCCCAGGCTCACTTTAAATCATTGAACACATTCCTCTGTGGCTGCATAATCTTCTTGATCAGAAAATTTGGAGCACAACTGAGTTACATGTTGTTACAGTACAGATTCTCCTATGTCCCGAGTCTTCACTGACCTTGAAAGGCTAGGGCCAAAATGTTGGCTTACCTTGCAGCCCTTCCTTTTCTCCAATTTTGATCTGCTAACTTAGGTTGTTAACCCTCCAGAAGAGAAGCTAATTTTTAACCTGGAATATATGCAGTTTGGTTTACCCTATCTGTCTAAATATCAAACATTTTGGCATATCATGGAACAGGTATTTTCCATCAGATATCAATATGTTGAACTTTAAGTCCTTACAGAATATGAAGGAAAAATAATTATATAAAAGTAGAAATAAGCATTTATGTATTTTTACAAAGAAATTTAGAAACCTAACCATATACGGAATTATAAGTCCTTATATTAGGGAGACAATACGATATTTACACAAGTGGGTCTGGTTTATTTCACTAATAAGTATATCTTCAAGGGGCATCCACTTAAATATGAAGGCTTCAAGTTTATCATTCTTTATAGCTGAGTAGTACTCCATTATATAAAAGTACCACATCTTTTTCAACCATTCCACATGTGACGGGCATTGTGGTTGTTTCCAAGATCTGGCTATCACAAATTGTGCTGCTATAAACATAGGTACGCATATATCACTATGATATGACGCTTTCAATTCCTCTGGGAAAATTCCCAGTAGGGGGATAGCAGGCTTGAATGTGATTTCCAGTCCTAGTTTTCTAAGGAGTCTCCACACTGATTTTCATAATGGTTACACCAGTCTACACTCCCACCAACAGTGGAGAAGGGTTCCCCTTTCCCCACAGCCTCTCCAACATTTGTTGTTGGTTGATTTCTTTATGATACCCAATCTTTCTGTGGTGAGATGGTATCTCAGTGTTGTTTTAATTTGCATTTCACGGATGGCTAGTGATGTGGAGCATTTTTTCATATATTTATTTGCTTCTTTAATTTCGTCCTCTGAGGAGTGTGTGTTTATCTCAGATGCCCATTTCTAGATTGGGTCTTTAAATTTAGGGGCCCTAATGTTCTTTACTTCTTTATAAATTCTAGAGAACAGACTGTTGTCTGAGTGCTTATTAGTTAAGATTTTTTCGAAGTTTGTAGGTTGTCTTTTCACTTTATTGATAATTTCTTTTGATGTGAAAAAACTTCTCAATAAGAGGTGGTCCCAGTTGTTAATTCTTTTAAGTGTTTCCCATGCGATTTTGTTTCTGTTTATGAACTC